GTCCATTTGGGATAATAAAAGGTCCAATACCATACTAGCCCAAATATTGAAGAAAATGTTTGTTGATAATATGACCGACAGGTTACGTCAGGATTTTCCAATGACCACAAACGAGTATTTCAGAAGTTATTCACCCCGTTAGGCATGATTCATTCGTGACCAATATGGACTGCAGCAACCACTTACAAAAACGTTCTCTTGCAGAGAAGGCGTACATTCCATCAGCACGCAGCGTCTATCACACTTTAGTCTTGGAGACTTGCACTTGTCTAGCCACTTCACTAGTGCTTGTTGCACGATCTTTTTCTACAACATTCAATACTTCCTTCTCAGTTTGCACCATTCGGGGGTGTCTAGGTCTCCCACGATGTCCCCTCGACATTCCTACAAATCGACCTGTATCTCTAGCATTTTGCATAAGGTAAACAAATTTCTGAATGATAAAGTCTGGCAAAGCGATCTGCATACACTCGCGAAGTTTCCGAAGCATTTTGAAGACGCTCACCATAAATTAAAATTATGTCGAAAAGTTCAATAATGCTTTACGAGTGTGCCATTTTCGTATTTTTTTTCGAAACGATTGGGAAATAAATGTTATGTTTATCTAAGCTGCCGGCGCCTGGATTAAGTACTGACGTACGAGATACATGAGCGGACTAGGTTTGCTTTAGGATGGATTGATTTTGCGGAGCCTAATATCTGGACTATCTTAAGACTTTGGTGTATATGCTACTAGGAAAAACCTCTTATTTTTCTCGCCACACATGATACTCGTATTCATTGGATTATCCGTTTGACTATAGGCGTGTAATATGTCAACTGCGGATACTGCTTCACCATACCAAAGGACTGGAAGTGGTATGATTCGTAGTAATCGCTACCAAAGCGTGGTATCAAATAGGATAATGAGCCATGTAATTTGACTAACAAAGCGTTGCTTACGCCTAGTAGGTGCGATGGGAAAAGAGCTGCGAAAGGCACCCCAATTAGGGCAGCTGCGGGGCGTCTCTTTCCTGGGCCACCTGGCATTACCCTGACTTCGACATCAACAGCCCGTCTGCAAAGCAACGGTGACAAATCCGACTGGGGAACGCCCACTTGATTCTTCACGCCGTGACTTTTCGAGCCGCGTGGCCGATTTGGAATTGACACAGGGATCAGGGAGGTCGTAGTATAGGGAGGGCCAAGTGCTGAAAATCGCAGTTATAAGCAAAAAAGTCTTTTTTTCAATCATCCGAAAGTATGATTAACTGTTCGCAGCCAAACACGCAAAATTGTTATTTTAACTTTAATTATCGTTTTCTACCTTAAGTTAGCAAATCTAATGTTATATTCGCGCGTTCAAAAAATTATACAATATGAAAGGAGATACCGTAGTGTCATCTGTGAGAATTTGTCACAGTTGTTTCTCTATTTACTATATACAAGGTGTTCTCAAAGTTGGGACTATCCTCTACACGGCGTGTAGATCTTAGAAAAATGAGCAATTTTTTCTAGTAAAATATACTCCAAAGTCTTGAGATTACTGAGATTTAAAGCTCCGCAAAATAAATCGAACCTAAACAAAACCTAATCCGGTGTGCAGCAGTAGTCAATCCAGGCACTGTCCGCGTTGGTAAACAAAACCTTTACACATCAGTTCTAAAAAAAACAAAACAAAGATGGCACACTCATTCAGCAATATCGGAGTTGTACATATTATTTTAATTGCTTTTACCTTATTTTTACACTTATCTCAAAGTATAAATCATTTAAGCTGGTACTTACCGAAATAAGGTTCGAGATTTTCTCTCAACTAATTCAGGATCATCCATATGGGTGGATCTGGCGCCTCAGCTATATCCCACTTTTTTTTATTAAGGTGCTTGAAGTATCTAGTATGCTAAACTGATCATCGTCAAAAAATTAAGTGAAAAAACTGTATTGGCCACGAACATGCAGATAAAAAAAATTCGAAAAGATGTGAGACACGTATGAGAGCAAATTATAGTACAATTTAAAAAATGGTCATTATTTAAAATATAGACCATAGAATAATTTTCATGTGGGTTTTCTCCACTTAAAGTAAAATTTGTTGCTGTTCGGGATAAAATACCTACTGAATTCCGAGTGTTTTGAAAAAAACCTGGTCCAATAAGGTTGATACATATTTTTAGAAATGGCACTAGATTAACTGCATGCAGGTCAGTTTTACAACAAAAAATTAAATGATGAAAATCTCCAGAAGTATTAGTCTCTTCCTAAAATAAAATGCCATACCATAGACTCTGTCTATTCCTTCTTCCCAAAAACATATTACTTCCTACTAAAACTGGCGAGTAAGAATAATTTATTGTCATCGTGAAAAATTTCGAAAATGAGACATTGTTTTTTAGATGTATATGGCATATACAGGGTGTTCGAAAAATAGACGGGGATATTTAAGAGGGTGATTCCTTGAATAAACATTTGAAAAAAAGCACATGGGTCCCGAAATGCAGAGTTTTCAAGGTACAGGGTGATAAATTTAAAACTTTTTTTTTATTATCTCAAGAAATATTTACTCGATTCTGTTGAAATTTGACAATATTATTTGTTGTATTGAGAGCCCTAAATAGATTGAAATTATTTGATTCAGTGGCGTCCCGGGGGCACCTTGACGAATATTATTGGCAAAAAAATGTACAACAATGCCTTTTTTGTACCTTTAATATTGGTTGTTTAATTATGCATCTAAAAATACATATTATTTGCCTGTTATATTTTTTCCTATCGTTTTTCGATAAAAAAATAAAAACCGTTTTATTGCATGTCACTGGGCAAAATTGGTTTATTAATTTTTGCTGAAAAAAATGAGGAACCTTGGAACACAAAAAATCATTTCTGCATGGAGGTTTGACATTAGCGCATCAGAATTACTCACAATTCTTTTTTGAAATTTATCACCCTGTATTTTGAAAACTCTGCATTTCCCGACCCATGATTTTAGAAAGTTTTTTCATATTTTTAACAAAGAATCACCCTCTAAAATATCTCCGTCTATTTTTCGAACGACAAACGACAAACCATGTCATTGATTTCAGTTGGTCTGTCTATCTATCTGTGTGTCCGGTAATTCTTGGCCCGTCTATAACTTGAGAAGTTTTGATCAAATTTTTGCACAAGGTAACTACTAAGGACGAAACAGCGTTGTAGCTTTTAAAAATCGGTCCAGTGGCGGCGGAGAAATATAAGAACTTTTGTAGGGGCTGGATGTTGGGGGTTGTAGGGGGTGGGGGAAAGCATATGTCAATCTTTTTTTTGGTAGCTATATTTACGTTCCGAATCCCAGTAATTCTACGCAATAGTAGAGAAAAGTTTTCGATATACGCGTGCTGGACAACTGAACGAGCGTCCATTTTTCAGCTCCGAATGCTGAGGGATAACTCAATCGCTGAATCGTGATGCGTGTAGAATATCCGTGTATGCAACGTCGTGGTGCGTTGCCACGTTGCTGGGTGGCCGGAACTGTCGGTAGGGAGGTAGGCCAGATCGCAATGTTGTTAAGCCTGTGGGGACTATGGACTAATTGTATAATCCTGTCTGACTGACATGATCCATTTAATTCCTTTGTTATACATGTTCGATGTCAAACTTTTTCTAAGAAGGACAAACTTATGCCAAATATATTCCTTTATGAATTTAATAATTTTTGGCATATAAGTTCAGTGTCCCTTACTAGTAAAATGATTGAATTTTAGCTTGATTCTTCAACTGACTGCAGAAGCTGGTTCAATAATGTGTTGAGGATCCACGATTTCTTATACACTCATTGACACGCCTCGGCATCGTGCTGATAAGGTGGTCGATATCCTGTTGGGGTATCTCATTCCAGGCTACTGCAACTTCGTGAGTAAGAGCTGCTAAAGTCTGTGGAGGGTGTTACAAATTGAAGAGCCTGCGACCTATCATGTCCCAGACCTGTTCACTTGGAGATAGGTCAGGCGATCGTGGTGGCCAAGGTAAATGGTTGATGCGAAAATTGAATGCTTCTTTATCACCAAACAATACACGCAGCCACAGTGAAAACTTAAAAGAAAAACCTGACTATTTTAACACTGTTCAAGCAAGATAAATCGATATGTAAAAAATGTCTACCTTTCTTTTGCCAACTCAGTATCTCTTAATTAATTCTCCTTCGTTGGACGAGGAAAGAAAAATGAAATGCAATCATGTCGGCCAGATGACACTGCTGTTCCCTTCCATGTACAAATGAATGATGGGAACCATGAGAAATTAAATACCCGCACGTCTATGTGTTTACAGCGGTCCCTTGTCAAACGTACCCGGGGTGGTATATTCAGGACATAATCTGTAATAATTATGGTTTCGAACGTTTGTTTGCTTACACATGAATGGAGTGGCTTGTGGGTACTTTAGTTGCCCTTTTATTTCCTTAAATTTATGTTTGGGATTACTCATGTGATTGTAGACGAATTTACTTGGCGAAAGTTGCCCGTCAAAGAGCCATCCTTGAGTTTTCCCATTTGTCTATGTTCCATTACCATAAATATGTGCTTGTCTTGTCTACTGATATATCTACTGGGAAGTAAACAGATAAATATTTTAATCAAATTCTCTGCCAAACAATAACAAACATGAGTCTATTGTACTAATTTAAAAAAAGCTTAAAAAGGCTGTCGAATACCCTACGTAGGTACATAAAACTGGCTGTATTGAACCAGAAATCTATATCATGTTCCATTCTAATATCATGGCTAATAGTGAGCTTTCAGTCTTCCATTCAGATTTTTTCTTAATCCAGGGGATGTTCATTAGTAGGAGCCGAATATAAAAATGGATATTGCTCAAAGGTCCTCGACTTCCCAAATTATTTTTACACTTATGTCATCTACCTACCTCAACTTTTAGTGAACTTCGGGCAGAGTTTTTGTGAATCTTCTTTAAAAGGATAGAGGAGATAAAATAGACGCGCATTCTTTTCTGTAATAGAATTTATATTATACATATTTACAACTTTTGCGCTCACCGAAAACGTATCTAATTAATTACACTATGTACGGATATTGTATACACTAACCAGAAAAGGTATTCATTGCACTATACATAAATAACATCCATAGCTATTCTCTACTTCATTTTTACAATGTACAAAAATATTCTCCAAATCTCAATCAAATATATTAGATATAACATCTTATTATTCTCTACAATAGATCACAACTCTCATCACTAGTACTTTATACAAAACTTCAAGTAGTAAATTCTGATAGAGGAGAAGCTTGGCAAAGTTTGAAACAAATTGAGCTGTAATAAAAGTATTACGGGTTTGATGTTTTAAATGATAGAATATTTGAAGAATCAAGTGTTTTAAAATAATTGTGGCGTGAGTTGTAGCTGGTGTATAATATGGTGAAGTTTTTTTACATTTATTGTATTAATCGATTAAGATATATTGGTATTGAATGCTCGAACGATTTTAAGATCAAGACTCATAAATGACAGTATTCTGACTTCATTACTGTTATAAAATTTTATGATCAATGGTCATGAATAATCGTCTTCTAATGTACATAAAAACACAGATTGTTGAAATATAAGATTTAGTTCATAAATTATTTGATTCGTACACCGCCGTTAGCTTCCAATTATTTTAATTCAACGATCAAGTAATCAAATTTGAAAAAACAATGGATTTTTTTTAACACATGTATAATAAATAGAGAAATAAATCAACAAATGCTTTTGATAATCGTTAAAAAGATAATTTTTAGCATGATTGACTGCCATATCATTGTTATAAAAACACTTATTTCGGTTTACAGACGGTTGTGTTTTGGGTATATTCCAAGCTTCATATCGATGACTTTGAATTCAACAGTAAAGACCCATGTTCATCACTTTCCTTGATACCTGGTATAGTAGTCTTTCAACAAAGGCGGTTCCAAAGTTTATATACTTATGCAGCAACAATTTTCATCTCGGGCTCCACTCCACTACAATGAAGGCTCATTCAGATTCAACATCGATGAGGGAGAGTCTGAACTTTGATTCACGTTTAACTATATTGTTATATTTTCACATCTTCAAATAGATGTTCCAGAAAACCGTGTTATCAAAAAGTAGGTTTTAGTTCCAAGAAACAACCATCAGAGCATCACTGCAGCACATTTTTTTGGTGATATCGTTAGAATCCAATGATAAGTTCAAACTGGCGTTATGACAGGACTGGAGCATTAGCCGCCATTTCATAAGCGCGTTTGATCTTATATCTTCGTAAACTATCAACCCTATAAAATTCTCCCGTGTAGTTTAAAAGAAATTCAAGAATAAAAATGCATAAAATAATACTTTCATTTATAAATGGTAAAGCTAACAATTTAGGCATTTAAATACTACTATGCTTTTCGCAGAGAATAAAATTTGCTACGAGGCCTCTCACATTTTTTGACAGCAGTATGTTTTACGTGTGAATAACTCCTGAATCATTATCTACGATTAATAATACCATTTTAAAGTGAATCCATTTTTTGCCACTTGCTAGAATGGAAAATTTTATTTTTGGATGATTTGTGATGCCTTTATTATGGATACCAAGGCACTAACTTCCATCAGTCTGTCTATTGTCGATTTTATAACTGCGCTATGTCAGCAACTCATGGAGCGATTTCCATGGAAGACGAGACGTAGTAGACAATGCTGACCGCTACCTATTAAAATCGTTGTCGCGGTTGCTGAGACTACGCAGTAGTACAATGGCCAATAGACAGCAGTGGAAGTGGGTGACTTGAATTTTCATGACAAAAAAATATTACTTTTTCCATATTTACGCGTGGCAGTAAATAATGGATTTATTTTAAAATGGTATTCCTGATCATAGACAATGACTATGGAGCTATTTCTTGAAGCTTCGAGAACCATTAAGCTATCAAAAAATGCAACAGACCTTTCATGTAGAAAATTTGATTCTTTATAAAAAGTGATAACAGTTACCAGTTTAGTAGTTATAAGTGGATATGCAATTATTTGTAACTTTGACGTTTAATTTCTCATTAACTGTTGACCGTACGGTAGAATAGAAATGATTGTTTGATAGTTGGAGAGATAATTGACAAAACGTGTCTCAATTTGGATTTATTATTACAAAGCTGACGATGTCAATAAAAAAATCTTATGCATTTTTTGTAAGAAGAAAGTACCCATTCCCAGATGGAGTATCATGAAAATGGTAAACTGAGATTTAGTTTGACGGTTTTCTAAAACTTCACGTCTTTGTAAATTCATAGAAATGTACATATTAGAACGATAATTCAGGTTTTAACAGAAATCTATTCAACCTCACCTACAACTAATGCGGTGGTGCCGCTTGGTGATGCAGGTGGTGGTGTGGATGGAACCCACCAGAAGGGTGGTGGAGGTCGAGACCAGCCCTAAGGGCAGCGTGACTGGCAAGCACACGCCCTGCTAAGTCGCCTAAGGCCCTTTCCAGCTGTTGGTGCTGACTTCGTACTGCGAATCTGTTTACGTGGACGGGAATAGGGACGACCAGTTTGCCTTTCTGTTGGTTGCCGGACTTCCCACCTCCTTGGTGAGGTCCTGTGCCTATAAACAAGTTCGACTTTATGCAACCAATTAAACTTTTTTCGATGTGCCTTATTTGTTTTTTTGGCCGCTCTGTGATATCCATATTACAAAAATCTGTTTCCATCTTATTATCTGAAGTTGTTTTTGACCACCCAAGTTCATCAGTTTTCACAAAAATTTAACATCTCTAAGGTTAACTTCGATTTTATATTCGTTTTTCGAGTTCCTGCAGTGTTATTGCGTAACTTGTGACTTGTGTAATAGAGAAGACGATATATTTTGGTTTTTGCATTTATTTTAAAGGTTACCAAGTAAACGTAAGATATCTGACAGTAAGACAAAACTATCTATATAAGGAAATGTCGTTTTAAGCGGACAGTTCAAGTCTCGTGATGCCGGACCTACAGTTATCAATACGTCATTGATGTTATCCGTCGTAAACGAAGTTGTCACTGAAATTGATCAGATGTTATAGGACACTTGAGATATATGCCAGATAGCTATGATTAAAAACTTCATACTCAGAACTAGGATCGCGAGCACATTTCTGTTGAAATTTTGTAGGAAAAATTTCATAGAAAATTTGTCTCTCTCTTGTCACTGACGCTAAGAACATTGAAGGATGCATTGGGCAGGTCATCTGACATATTTATATCACATTTGCTACAACAGCTGATGATAACTTCAAATATATGGTCATGAACGGGAGTGGCGTTGACCAAAATCAAATTAAAATCATTGTCAGTGTAAGATAAAATATAGTCAACGCCAAACAAAGTGGCGTGCACGTCATCACGATAAAAATTCCCCGACCTAATGCCTAGGTTTCTATCACAAACAATTGCTCTATTGCAGTTTCATATTAATGTGATATATAAATTGTAAAATGGTCATTACTCTCTTATTATGGTTAATAGTCATATAAACATTGTTATTAAAATATCACATAAGTTGCTTTCTGATAAATTTAGACGCATTATGCGAAATAAAATGTTTTGCAAACGCTCCAATCACTTATCGACATGTAAACGCACTAAACCGATTTCACAGCGTTGACACATTGTCACCTTGAAACTTATTTAAACTGGGAACTGACATTTGTATTAATTTTGACACTGAATCAATTTGTGGCATTTCAAATCTTTATAAATCCTTTGGCCCCGCATACTGTAAATCAACAACTGTTTGTTTCAAAACAAAATTATTCATTTTACGAGTAGATAAAGGCAATTTTGGTATATAAAGATGCACAAACAGTTAAATAGTCGGTGTAAGGAACTCGTGGCCTCGTTAATGCACTACTTTGAGCAAGAAAGGGACAACAACGGGCCTTTGTTGCCTTTAAATGCTGTTCAAGAGGTAGGTTACTGATAATTATATGTAATGTATATTAATAATAGTGAAATTTTATTTCATTTTTTGTAGCGTGTTGCTGCTGCTTTAAAAATTAGTTTAAGGACAGTTAGTCGTATTTCCGAGGGTGTGAAAAGTGATGCAAATTTAGAATCGCCCAAGAAAAAGCGGAGTTATATTAAACGTGTAACCAACACAGCGACATTGGATACAAGTGCCATTCGAGAAGTGATCTATAATATGTAACACAAAAGTAAGATCTTATTATAATAACTTATCAGAAATTTGCATTAATTTGTTAACTAAATTATAATGTCATATTACACATGGTTTCAGAAGAACAAGTTACGATACAAACTTTATGGTCTCGATTAAGAGATAGGGCATTTGATGGTAGTGCCACGTCTTTAAGGCGGTTGCTTAGAGATCTTGGATTTAAGTGGCTTAAGGACAATCCGCGACGAGGGCTCATGGAACTACCAAGTATAGCTTTGAAAAGGGTGGAATTTCTAAGGCAATACAATCAAGCCAAGGTTGAGGCCTTATACCAGTTTGTCTTCCTCGATGAAACTTGGATATTTCAAAATGGGACCATAGGTCGCTCTTGGCAAAATGGAAACCAAAAAAGCGTGAAAGCTATTAAAACAGATGGTAAAAGGTATGTACTTTTACACAATTTGCACTATAAAATTTAAAACTAATATATTTTAGATACATTATATTACATGCTGGAAATGAAAATGGGTTTATTGAGGGTAGTGAAGCGATATTTTCTTCGAAAACAAAATTGAGCGATTACCATGGAGAGATGAACCAGGACAATTTTTTGAAATGGTTTCAACATCAGTTATTAGAAAAATTGGAGAGTCCATCTATGATTATACTGGATAACGCCCCTTATCACAGCATGATATTGAACAAAGTGCCCAACAATGCATGGACAAAAAAAAATATCCAAGACTGGTTGACAAATCAAAACATACCATTTTTAAACACAATGTTTAAAACAGAGCTATTGAGTATTGTTGCTCGGTACATAATGCTTCTTAATTATATATATTTTGGTCGACACTTTATATTTCTTTTGTTTATTCCTATTCTTAAAATAACTGCTTTTTTAGAAACAAACCACCTAAAATATACGTGATTGATGAATTGGCGGAACAACATGGGCACAAAGTTCTTCGTCTGCCTCCTTACCATTGTACATTTAACCCTATTGAGTTAATTTGGGGCATAGCAAAAGGTTACTATAACAGACATATTGGTAGAGATGGTAACAGTGAAAAAGACTGTTTGGATATGTGGAACGAGGCTCTACAAACGGTTACCCCAGACATGTGGAAAAATAGTGTTCGACATACTGAGCAAGAAATTTTTAAATGGTATGAAAGAGAACGAATTTTTGATCGACCAGACATCGAACCTTTAATAATCAACTTTGAGAGTGATGAAGATTCAGATTCAGACAGCGCTGAAGAAAGAAACTCCGACTAACTTTATTGTACAGAAAAAGCTTACACCAGTAGCTTACCTAATTTTAGAATGCATTTTTCTGTATGAATTCTGTAAAATAAATACCATGCATAAAATTTGGAGGACCCCATTTGGATTTTTATTCAGTACCTTTAAGCTATCAATTAAATATGGTAGTTTCATAGTGTCATCTGATCAATAATTGTCATACTTAATGATTATGCAAGTACAGATCTATAATTTTATTATACTATTATTTTTGTTCTCATTTGAGGTTAATATTGCTTATAAACCTAGATATGCAAATAATAAATTTTATTATTTTACAAAAAGTTTGGCAACAATGTAAATTTTTCAACACACCCACCTTGATGACGTGCACGCCACTTTGTTTGGCGTTGACTATAGAAGGATTGCAGTGATCTTTTGTAACATTTTTTTGTCGCTAGATATTTGCTACCAAATGCTTCAAAAACTACAATAGCATAGCGTAACGGCTGCTGTAACATGAATTTAGGATCTATGGTCTCCAACTATCGTACAGCTCTCGTACGAACCACAAATTATATAATAACAAAAAATCGTTGGTCAGCTAAATAAAGAAAGTGGAATATGCAATCACAAGAGACACCGAAAAAACTTATAGTATTATCTAAAGCCACAAGAGTATAGGATTATGGCTTTTTATACTATAAACTCAAATTTTTCTTAGCCAAATAATGAGGTTCCGGTACCCTGAAAAATTCATAAAAATTTTACTCCTTGCCAAAGGAGACAATATCAGTGAAAATTTTTGTCATACTTGACTGAAATAGCGTGGCTGATTTTTAATAGTATATAAAACAAAATGTAATGAGGTAGAAATATTTTTTAGACCTCACCTAAGCCAGCTTTCACCCGTTTCCACTTTGCTCTCCTGTTCTGGAACCAGATCTTCACTTGGACCTCACTAAGCCTTAAAGCCGCTGCTATTTGACTTCTTTCTGTTAGCGAAAGGTACTTCTTGGCATGAAATTCCCTCTCCAACTCTAGTAACTGTTCACTGGTGAAAGCTGTTCGTCTCCTGGCGACAAAGTTGTTTTTTACCTTAGTGCTTATTACAATTTTTATAAACACGTACAGGATATACAGGGTGATAAAATAATAGATTACCTTCGTGCTTTCGCTGCGGCTGAGGCTGATTCTGATGAGGAATCCTGGTTATGGGTACTACTGTGTGAGTTGCTATCATCGCATATATCGTCATCCAAATCAGAACCTGAAACAAAAAGATGGCGTCAAGTAGGTTATCTTTGCACTTCCCACGCAACGTAGCCATCAGTTGATAAATATTTAAGTTCGGCATAAGTACCCTCTGCGAAAAAAGTTACTTAGGAACATGTATAACAAAAACATTAAATGGTTCAAGTTAATCAAAAGGGCCATACAATTAGCTCATAGTTCCTAAACATGCTAGCCAGCCATGAGCCAGCGGTGAGAGGGTACCTACAAGTCAGACAACAAGAAAGAGTTGTGCATGCAGATATACGTTGGTTGGGTTGTTGTGCGAGCGATACGCGACGCATGAGTTATGCAAAATATTCCTGGATTAAGTTTTAAGGGCAAATGTACGGGTACATCTATGATGTTTAAAATATCTAGTTGGTAAGTAGAATTACTGGAAGCGTATCAATATACTTACACTAGAAAGACTGAGGTATACCCAAATAACGAAGTTTGAGAGATTTCTAATTTCTGATTTGAGCGCAGGTATTTTTTTACATTATATTTTACTTTTTAATATTTAGGATGTCAAATAATTAGTTTCATAATTTCTATATAATTTTCGTATATTTCATTAATAAGACTAAGATATAATAAGCCGGTTTTTGTGTTTCTCTCATCGAGCCCTATCATTTGATTCCCATATCATAGGGGTTACTATGAAAATTATAAATCGCCATTTTTTAGCATCCGCCATATTGGATTCAAGATCCCGGCAGTAATTAATTTTGTGCTGTCACGTGAACAAAACTTGTGTACAAAATTTCAGATAAATTGGATAAGGGGTTCAAAATTCAGTTTGAAGATTTGCCCCACACATATAGAAAGGTCTAGTTGAAAAAAGCTTCTCATATCTCGGTATCTCTGACATTAGAGAAATTAATTGTTAAAATATACAAAATTGCCCGTACTAATACAAATTGGTCTGCCGAGTTCGGGGGTTGGCCAACTTCGAATCCTAGAAAACCGTCTGTCGTCTGATAAGCAATGTTGCAATTGCTTTTAGTCTTCGCGGGCTTCTTAATTCGGGAGTGTTATTTTAAGTAATTTCAAAGGTAAATCTCAGCTGCACTCGAAAATATATTTGTGACCAAGTGTAAGTGTTTTTGGCAATCTGTACCTTTGAATTACGGCAGTAATGAAGGAAAACTTCGGAGATACATCTGACCTCTTACACGGACTGTCCGGGTGCACTATTTTCAGTGTTTTTAAAGGTAAAACTATGTCGTACCTGAGAAATGTGCTCGTGGCATGTGGAATAAGTGTCGGTGAGTGTTTGCCGTGTTTTACACCTTTAGATTACGGGAAGAAAGAAGCAAAACCTCGGAGATACCGCGATACAAAAATGGCGGGAAAATGGTGAGTGATAATTTATTTTATTTTCATGGGCGCCCGAGTGAATTTTTCTCAGGAAAGGAGATCGATTATCGGCAAGAAGTATCTATCTTTGTGGAAAAGTACCTACCTCCAAAACTTTTTGAAGAGTGGCAGAGTTATTAGGTAGATACGTAAAATGTCTAAAAAATCGGAAGACTCGACTCCGCACGGGTATCATGTAAAAAACCTATAAAACAATAACAAAAACCTATAAGATGTCAGCTTGTAGACTAGGTAGTATTTAGGGCGCAAACAGTAATTCCTCGTTTGCTCACTAGAATCGTTGTGAACGTCCATCTATGGAGGAATCACTCAACTAAACTACACGCATTATTGGTTGCATATGTTTTGTGCGGCTGAGTGGTCCGTGTCTCTTTTTTTATCTCTGAGAAGAAAGTTGGTTGAATAGCAAGATCGCATCTGGATGATTATGTGTATAGGTCAGCATTTGCTGTGTGATAAAATCATTACTGAATATGCTGAATATGGCGGGTTACTTATATGTTGCGCTTTCTGAAGAGGTGTTATGTTCAAAGTTATAAATTACGAAAAACTGAGGAGAATTACGGGAAATCATCACCGCGCCCGCGTTGTTTGTAATTACTTAGCATGTAACTATATGGCGTGTACTTCGACAGTGTATAGTGAATATAATTGTTTCTTATCTCTCTCATTTTTGAAATGCAGCAAATTTGTATATGTAATTTCCAGAATGGATAAGAAAAAGTGGTTGCGCAACTAATTTCTAGCTTTGAATCTCGATTAAGTGTATTTGAGACAAGAATCCAATGGAATTATCATCAACACATACAACTTACACCTTAGACCTCCAGTAATGCCATCTCTGCAGCAGATCTTACATCACTTCAGAGTAAAACATTGATAACTAAAGCCCATGACGTTTAGGCAACACGAACATCTAAGTGCTAGGTTAAAATCTTGTAAAAAACCTACATAATGTCAGAAAAAACCAGTATAATGTCAAAAAAAATCGACTAGGAGAACAATTTAAAAAACTTTTGAAACATACTTTGTGGACCATTAAGAAATTATTGAGGTCCGGATGAACTGGAAATTTGCAGTTTGTCTAATTTATTTTTCCTGATAACTAATAGGTATTGTTTCGACTAAAAAATGCCACCACAAAACATCTAAAATGCTACTTTAGGGCTAAATCTTTTGTGATCTTATGTGATCGACATTGCCGTAGCAAGTATATTGAGGTCCGACAAGATGGGCACAGATACAGTGTGTTTATTTTACATTTAAAATGATGTCTACAGTAGCAATATGCTGACTGCAAACATGAACATAACTATTGAAAAATTAAAATTCAGGAATTTCGTAGTAATACCATACCTCAGCCGCTTTTTCATACAGTACAAAGTATGTTTCAGTGACTTTTTCAATTTTTTCTCCCGGTAATAAAAATTCTATAAAGCACGGCCCTTCCAATCGATAAAATGTCAACTTGTGTCAACAGACGCTAGTGTGCCGCTAGTTTGTTCCTCCCCTACTACAAATGAGCAATGAGCATGAAGTGAATGTCAGGTAGTTGAAAGATGACATTTTATAGAAAAACCTACATAATGTCAAAAAATGACTTCAAGTAGATTGACTCTATACTTCCTACGCCTTCGTTGGAGGTTTCAAAGAAAAGGGATGAGTCAAGTCATTTCAAAAGGCGAAATCGAATCGCAATTAGGTATGTTCACTAAGGTACGATCAACCTTTGACCTTTGCATATCAAACTATGTAAAGCAAATCTATCATATTTCTGATTCGATGCAAATGTAGGGAAATATGTGTGACTTATTATGTCTAACAGGCGCATAGTGTCACTGAGATAAGCAGCTTCTTAATAATATAAGGTCTTTCACTGACAATATGCAAAAATTTACAACCATTAACCGCATACAGCTTCCAACCCACAATTTCTGAAAATGAATAGGAATGTCTGAAACGTTGTGACACTACGTACCAGCGATTTGATGTTTTTGACCGTAGTTCCGCCGCCTCTAAATCAATTTTCAAAATTTACAACTAACTAAATGATGGAGGTATTGAACTCCCGATAATATTCAAGTCTCAGATCACAAGTTTTCTGTTGCTTAAATATATCTGCATCACACAAGTCCGTGTTTCTCATTTATGTTGGTTTGTCAGTCCGCGTCTGTTTTATATCAATGCATCATAAGTACTGAGTCAGTCTAATTGACGAAATATTCAGAGAACGATCATAGACGAAGTTTCACAAATTAAAAGCTAGACGAAATGGGTGGTACATTTAAAGATCATAAAATTCAGAAAAACAGCAGGTAAGTTATCATTTACACAAGATCGCATAACGCTAAGGTGGTACATACTCCTCATATCCAAATCTTGTTAAAATATATAAACATTCTCCTGTAGCGGTATATCACTGACGACACCACCGGGGACAGAAGCTTCTTAATGGTAGTTTCAACCCATTACAAAAGATTTTTCGTAAATGATCAGGAGCCTTTGAAACGTCAAAGAACGAAGTTTGAGCGTTTTTTAATTTATCGTGTTTTTCCCTAGCTCCTCCGCCACTGGACCGATTTTTAAAAACTACAAAGCTTTTCCATCCTAGGCGTAGTAGCAACCATAGTGACATGGTCTTTTGTGATGTACATGTCATATAACATCCAAATAATATCTTAATTTCAATTAAATTTTTTGTGATTACAACACTTCCCCACTAGTTGACGTGGGGACATGCTCATCATCCAAAATATCAGTTCCTATAATGTAACTATGAATTGAAGTCCTGTGGGATTGAATTTTGTAAGCTATATAGCTTCATCTATGTAATTTTGTGTTTACATTTTTCCAACTTTTTTGATATTACTCTTCCCGAACTTTTTTGTCCTCGTTATAGTTGTAACTATTGTGAAAATTGTATTAAGAGTACTTTTTGATCTATTGAGAGGCTAAGGCTTAGTGAACAGATATCAGTGGCGTTACATCTACATGAACATGACTACGCCGTGTACCGACTGATCAAACACGCGAAAAAATGGAATTTGGGGGTTTTTCACTCATAACTCTGGTTCGATTTTCAAAATCTACAAAGTTTTTTTTTCGACCTTGGCACAGTAGTAGTAAAGTTTTCACAACATCCAATCGATAATTACCGAGTTATAGACTCAAAGATTATCAGGCAGACAGACAGGCGGAAACGAGTGACATATGGCTTTTACCCTTAAATCTAACCAAGTGTTGTGTCCTTCACCTCGGGAAGACAAATCCGCGATTTACATACTCTCTGACCACAACATCGAAGCAGTTTCGAGCCACACTGATCTGGGCGTTGTAGTCAACGATCGTCTTTCCTGGTCAGAGCATATTCACCACGTTACATCAAAAGCCAAGAAACTTCTATATATGCTGGAGAGGTCTTTCAAAGGATCCGATGTCAAAACTTGCGCCTACATTTACAAGGCATTCGTGAGGCCAATTCTTGAATTCGCTGGCCCGGTATGGGACACTGTGCTTCTGCGCGATAGAAATCTCGTCGAATCAGTACAGCGTCGGGCTACTCGTATCCCTTTTGGAGCACGAAGACCAAGCTATGAAGATCGCCTTGAATTATTC